CGTCCGTCCGTCCGTCCGTCCGTCGCTCCCGCAGCTCCATGGACGTGCCGCGCCTGCCGTCCCCGCCGCAGGAGAAGGGTCCCCCCGAGGTGCTGGTGCTGAGCCGCCCGCCGCTCGCCCGCTCCTCGCCCGCCTACTGCACCAGCAGCTCGGACCTGACCGAGCCCGAGGGCGGCCGCGGGGGCGCGCTGGGGGTCGGCAAGAGCGTCTCCATGCTGGACCTGCAGGACGGACGCGTGGACAGCATCCCCAGCCTGCCGGCCGAGCTGCTGGCCGGGGGCGCGGCGCCGGGGGGCGCGGGCCAGGGGGGGCTGCGGCCCGGGCGGCTGTCGCAGGGCAGCGCCTCCAGCCTGGCCCCGCCGCGCCTCGGCGTGCCCGAGCCCGGCGGCCCGCAGCTGCGGGGGCCGCTCTCCTTCCNGTGGGGGATATGGGGACGCTGGGACAGGGGGACTTTGGGTGTGCTGACATGGGGACATTGGGGACATTGGGGATATGGGGGCTGGGGGACACTGGGACATGAGGACATTGGGTGTGGGGACGTGGGGACTTGTCCCCACATCCCCATGTCCCCATGTGTCCCTACATCCTTGTGTCCCCTATGTCCCCATGTCCCCAATGTCCCCCTGATGTCCCCAATGTCCCGCTTTATCCCCGTGGTCGCTGTGTCCCCCATCTCTTCCATATCCCCGTATTCCCGATATCCCTGTGTCCCCACGCTGTCCCCATGTTCCCATGCTGTCCCCGTGTCCCCTCACTATCCCTGTGTCCCCATGCTGTCCCCACACTGTTCCCGTGTCCCCATGCTGTCCCTAACTGTCCCCATGCCCCCTCACTGTCCCCGTGTCCCTGTGTCCCCACTGTCCCCATGTCCCCATTGTCCCCATGTCCCCACGCTGTCCCCTCACTGTTGCTGTGTCCCCATGCTGTCCCCGTATCCCCATGCTGTCCCCTTGCTGTCCCCATGTCCTCACACTGTCCCTGTGTCCCCATGTCCCTTCACTGTCCCCGTGTCCCCATGCTCATGCTGTCCCCGTGTCCCCTCACTGTCCCCATGTCCCCTCACTGTCCCTGTGCTGTCCCCTCACTGTCCCCGTGTCCCCATGCTCATGCTGTCCCCGTGTCCTGTCACTATCCCCATGTCCCCTCACTGTCCCTGTGTCCCCACTGTCCCCATGTCCCCTCACTGTCCCCGTGTCCCCTCCCTGTCCCCGTGTCCCCATGCTCATGCTGTCCCCGTGTCCCATCACTATCCCCGTGTCCCCTCACTGTCCCTGTGTCCCCACTGACCCCATGTCCACTCACTGTCCCCGTATCCCCTCACTGTCCCTATGCTGTCCCCTCACTGTCCTCGTGTCCCCTCCCTGTCCCCATGTCCCCGTGTCCCCTTGCTGTCCCCGTGTCCCCACTGTCCCCATGTCTCCACTGTCCCTGTGTCCCCTCGCTGTCCCCGTGTCCCCCCGTGTCCCCGGTGTCCCCGCAGGCGTCGCAGACGCCGTCCACGCTGAACCCGGTGCTGCCGGCGTCCGAGCGCACGGTGGCCTGGGTGTCCAACATGCCGCACCTGTCGGCCGACATCGAGAGCGCGCACATCGAGCGCGAGGAGTACAAGCTCAAGGAGTACTCCAAGTCCATGGACGAGAGCCGGCTGGACCGGGTAGGGCAGGTGTGAGGGACACAGGTGTGAGGGACACAGGTGTGCCCAGGTGTGCCCAGGTGTCTGTGAGTGACACAGATGTGACTGGTACAGGTGTGACACAGGTGGGCCCAGGTATGAGGGGTACAAGCTCAAGGAGTACTCCAAGTCCATGGATGAGAGCCGGCTGGACCGGGTAGGGCAGGTGTGAGGGACACAGATGTGAGTGACACAGGTGTGAGGGACACAGGTGTGACTGGCACAGGTGTCCTCAGGTGTGCCCAGGTATGCCCAGGTGTGCAGGGATCCAGGTGTGAGGGGTACAAGCTCAAGGAGTACTCCAAGTCCATGGACGAGAGTTGGCTGGACTGGGTAGGGCAGTTGTGAGGGACACAGGTGTGAGGGACACAGGTGTGACTGGCACAGGAGTGAATGGTACAGGTGTGACTGGCACAGGTGCGAGTGACACAGGTGTGCCCAGGTGTGAGTGGTACAAGCTCAAGGAGTACTCCAAGTCCATGGACGAGAGCCGGCTAGACCGGGTAGGGCAGGTGTGAGGGACACAGGTGTGAGGGACACAGGTGTGAGGGACACAGGTGTGAGGGACACAGGTGTGAGGGACACAGGTGTGAGGGACACAGGTGTGAGGGACACAGGTGTGAGGGACACAGGTGTGAGGGACACAGGTGTGAGGGACACAGGTGTGAGGGACACAGGTGTGAGGGACACAGGTGTGACTGGTACAGGTGTGGCTGGCACAGGTGTTCTCAGGTGTACCCAGGTGTGAGTGATACAGGTGTGAGTGGTACAGGTGTACTTAGGTGTGTTCAGGTGTGAATGGTTCAGATGTGAGTGGTTCAGGTGTGCTCAGGTGTGCAAGGATTTGGAGAATGATGCTGGTGGAGCTCAGGTGTGCAGATGTTCAGGTGTGCAGGGATCCGGGTGTGCAGATATTCCGGTATCCAGGTGTGCCCAGATGTTCAGGGATCCAGGTGTGCAGGTGCCGGGTCCTATAGACCCCTAGTGTCCCTGGATCCAGATGTGCAGGGATCCAGGTGTGAGGGGATTCAGGTGTGCCCAGGGGTGCAGAAATCCAGGTGTGCAGGGATCCAGGTGTGCAGCGATCCAAGTGTGCCCAGGTGTGCAGGGATCCAGGTGTGCCCAGGTGTCCCCTGTGGCAGCTGGAGGAGTACGAGGAGGAGATCCAGGTGTGTCAGGTGTCCCCCAGGTGCACGAGGTGTCCCCAGCTTTCCCAGGTGCTGTAGCTGTCCCCAGGTGTCGCCAGGTACCGTAGGTGTGCCCAGGTGTGCTAGGTGTGCCTGTAGAGGGGTGTAGGGGTTCCCAGGTGTGCCCAGGTGCGCTGCAGTGTCCCTTTGGCAGGTGAAGGAGTACGAGGAGGAGATCCACTCGCTGAAGGAGCGGCTGCACAGGGACAGGGGGGTGCCAGGTGTGACAGGTGTGGCAGGTGTGACAGGTGTGCCCGTAGCTGTACTCAGGTGTGCCAGGTGTGCCCATAGCAGGATGTAGGGGTTCCCAGGTGTGCCCAGGTGTGCCCAGGTGTGGCAGGAGCCCTGCAGTGTCCCTTTGGCAGGTGACAAGTACGAGGAGGAGATCCACTCGCTGAAGGAGCGGCTGCACAGGGACAGGGGGGTGCCAGGTGTGAGAGGTGTGACAGGTGTGACAGGTGTGACAGGTGTGCCCAGGTGCGCTGCAGTGTCCCTTTGGCAGGTGAAGGAGTACGAGGAGGAGATCCACTCGCTGAAGGAGCAGCTGCACAGGGACAGGGGGTGACAGGTGTGACAGGTGTGACAGGTGTGACAGGTGTGCCCGTAGCTGTGCCCAGGTGTGCCAGGTGTGCCCATAGCAGGGTGTAGGGGTTGCCAGGTGTGCCCATAGCAGGGTGTAGGGGTTCCCAGGTGTGCCCAGGTGTGCCCAGGTGTGCCCAGGTGCGCTGCAGTGTCCCTTTGGCAGGTGACGAGTACGAGGAGGAGATCCACTCGCTGAAGGAGCGGCTGCACAGGGACAGGGGGGGCCAGGTGTGCCAGGGGTGG